ATGGACACAGATGGTATAGTGTTATATACATATAGTATGTTTTATATATGTAACATGGAATGATATTCCTACGCTTGTTGTATTTTGACCTAGCCCCAGGACTGACTAACCCTTCACTGGGAAAAGGAGACAAAGGGAACTTCCTTGGCCCTGCTCCTCCTCCTCTCCCCCTCCTCCCCCCTCCCAACCTCTAACGCCATCCATACTCGGATCATGGTCATCTGTGCGCTCTTGTCAAAGAAGTACCAGATCTCCGGCCCTACTTCTTCCCAGGCTTTGAGCAACTTCCTGAGGCGCTCCAGCTCTTCAAAAGTCGAGTTGGCCTAGAAGCAGACAGAGATAGAAACACTGAAGAAGGGAGGGGAAAAGAGTGAGAGGGGCCTTTAGTTGCATCTTTCCTGCTCCTGTCACAAACCCCCAATGTTCAGGAAAGGCTTGTCAAGGAAGTGTCTTTTTTCTTAGTCTGTCGGTATTTCCCAGAACAGTCAGCTGTTTCCCAGCCTCCCAGACTGGCAGAATCTCAGAATCTCAGAGGTACCCATCATACTGATGATAGTATTGTCTCGGAGCCTCGTTAGGGCTAGATTTGGACTCCGTGTGAGCAGATGCTCTTCCTCCTTCCTCCCTATCTTTCTTGCGGGCAGCCAGGATTTGGAGAACTGTGACCCCTTCCTTGGGGTTATAATTCAGGTGTGGGAAGAAAACCTCACTGTAGGCTGCGTGGGGGGGGCGGGGCCCAGGCAGGGGCGCTGGCGCACGACATTCCAGTGATGCCTGTGGATGGGGGAGGAACCAAGAGTCTGCTTAGCGAAAAACACGAGGCTCGCTACCAGGAGGGCACGGTGAAAAATACAGACGCACACGCACACGCACATGCGCACACACACGCATTCTCATCCTCTAGGCAGACCAAGGCAGACGGCACAAGACCAGCTGGGAACTTACGCTCTTTAGTATCCTGCGCGTTGCAGGGGAATCCGGAGTAAAGAGGATTTTTCCCATCAGCAAAGGCTTTGCTGCCCTCCAGGCTATTTTGGTTAAAGGGTTTGACTCCAGGTTCTGGATCAATGCATTACAAAAGGTCGCTGTCAGGAGAGAAGGGACAGATTTTATAGAAACTCCCCGTTGCTCAGAGCTAAACATAGTCATTAGTGTGTTCAAATCACATGTCTCATTCAACTGTATGCTGGAGGATTTGACAAATGATCTAAACTAATAGGCTGCACCCCACCAGTAACAAGCTCATCATTAGCAAGTAACAAAGTGCCCGGCGCATCTCAACGAGGGCCTCATCAGAGAAACAAAGAACGGGGCTTGCCCTGTGGTTTTTCTGCTCTAGAAGGAGGCTGAGAAGCCTGCTTGCGATTGATTATTGCAAGAAACAGAGGCCATTCTCAGATGAAAGGGGCCGAGAGGCCAAACAAGGCCTCCCCTTGGAATCTCAGCTTTAGTCTCAATAATTTCCCCTCAATTAGCTGCTTAACTTCTTTGTTGTGTGCGGCTACCTTAGGGCCCAACTGCTTTTGGTGCGAGCCTTGCCTCCTTTCAGTTTTTAACTAGAGGGTTACCCAGTTGCATTTCGTCCACACCCCACCCTCCTTCACTTCACAGGAGCCAAAAAAAATACTGAAAGGTGGGAAAGATGGCTTGCCAGTGCCCTGCCATTTGGAATGTAATTCCGTACTACCCACACAGATTCTCACTGCACTGTGTTGGTGAAAACATCCCACAGCCATGTTGACTTGCCAGAGCCCTCCGACCCCTGCTTGGCTCATAACTCGGGGTTGCCTCCTCATTTATCTTCCTCTTCCTCTAGAACTTAACCCTAGTTCAATGAGATCAGTGGGGAATGTCCCCTCTGTTCCCTTTCCAAGTGGGTCTCAGTTCTTTCCATGGCTCCCTTCCAGAATTCTTTATGAGCACTGCCCTCTTCCCACACAGGGAAAGGGACTTGCTGGAAGGAGAAGCCTCTCTGCCTAAGGCCCCTCGACAGGGACCAAGGGCAAGTCTGCCCCAGGACTGACTTCACCTGGAAGTGTTAACCCGTCAGCTCATCAGAAGCCGATTTATACGCAGGACTTAGAAAACTTACTTGCTGTTTTGTCGTAAGAATAGACAGGATCTTTCCTTGTGGAGTCAACCCCCAGGAAAGCCTTGTAGTTGTTGTCCTCGTACCAGTTGAAGGAGAGCACCCGGGAGCCTCCGCCCTCTGGGTAGCCACACAAGAGGTCAGACAGGGTGCCCACCAGCCGTGTGAAGGTCTCCGGACTGCCAGGCTGCACAAGGGGCCTGGTCACCCACAGCAAGTCTTGAACACTCCGCCGGTGGACGAGCTAGGGCAAGGCAAAGGCTGCAGGTTATTCTAAGGCACTTGGAGTCACAAATCTACAGTGAAGCCAAAGCTCCAAAGTTTGGGGCGACCTCTGCATGTGTTTGCCACATTTAAAAGAAAACATATATATTCTCAGTAATCCTTAATCCAGCTGTGAAATGAAACCTACTGCCATCCACTCAGGGCCTGGGAGGAAAATAGCCTTAAAGAGAATAAAAGAGTTAACCTCCTAAGCATTTCAGTATTACTTCTCTTTACCAGTCCCTTTAATTTTAATTCCTTGGGAATATATCCTTGGGGAAAAGTAGAGAACATTTCTCTGTTAGTCAGTTCTTAGGTTCTGTTATCCCACCAAGATGGGTCCACTGGGAAAAGAAATTGGGAAATACAACGGTGGAGTACCTCTGTCCTAGAAAGGCAAAGTCAGGGCAAGTTCCTCGGCCAAACAGTTTAGAATTTAGTTTCTTATATTTGGAAGATTATCTTTTATTAGCTTAATTTTACCAAACATGAACTCTTCCATTTCCTTGAAATGTGTGGTTTGTGGCTTCTCT